GCCATTCTATGATTCTGTGATTCTATGATATATGCTCCTGTACTGTTTGAGTACCAAAGTGTTTTATTAAATGTTTGCTTTCTGAATTTGTGATTTGCTAATGTAGTTTTTATTTGAAGAAATATGAATGGATTGTTTGGAGATTTGACATGCTTTTGAACAGTAAAGTACAAAAAATGAGCATGATGAGGAGCTGCAAACGTGAACTTTTGCTAGGCTGAATGATTTTCAGGATATCATCTCCCCTTATTAACAGTGGTTTATGGACTGCTCTTGTAGATGGGAAACTACTCCCTCTCCTTAAAATAAATGGGAAATGATGTTCAGTAGGCTCAGTAATCAGACAGTTGTTCTTTTTCTTCTGGCTACACAATTGTATTGGGCTTCAATGATGAGATTTTATTACGTATAAGAAGGTCATAACTGAATCTTAGAAGCTGTTATCATGTGTGTTTCACACATGATAATCTAAATTTTGTCTCATAAGTAATTTATTTGTTATGAATACCAACTTTCAAGCCCTTCTTTTCTAAACTTTTAAATGTTGGATGCTTTTGTATCTTACTGCTTTTATTTATTTTTAGTGAACACATTATTTTTTTCTTTTTTTAATAGGGTATAATTCATTATGAGCGAGACAAAAAAGAGATAGAGTTTTTACTGTTCCAAGAAGTCCTCAGTTATATGTCTAAAGTGGACAGAGTACTAAGTTTTCCTGGAGGATCACTTCTTTTGGCAGGACGGAGTGGTGTAGGTCGTCGAACAGTTACCTCTTTAGTTAGTCATATGCATGGAGCTGTCCTGATTACTCCCAAAATTTCCAGAGGCTATGAGATGAAGCAGTTCAAAAATGATCTTAAATACGTAAGTCACTTAGTGTCTTCCATTTTATAGTGTTGTAGATGTGTGTTAAAAAAACCTACCATACGAATATGGGGGTTTTGATGATGCAAAATTGTTGTATGAAGAGATATTTTAAGAAGAGCAAGACGTCAGTAGTCTAAATGAAATAAGTAGATTTTTAGAAGTTCTCAATGTCTAGGTGTGTCAACTATTCTTCATAGTAATTCCCTGAAACTCCACTTTTTTGAACACCAGAGCTGTTTTTATGAGTGTTGCAGACTTCATAAATTCTAAGTTTATGTTAATAATGGAAAAGTTTTTTTCGTGTAAAAAATTTTTGTATTTCTATACATATTTATTTTCTATCTCTACAGTCGTATGCCAGTTAATAGGACAGTAGCTGAATCAAGTAAAATTTTGATGATTGATGAAAGTGTACTTATTACTGAAGAAAAAAATGCAAACCTTGAGTCAGGAGTTTCCCAGTACATTCAGCAGTGCTACAGAAAATTCGAGAGCTAAGCCCACATAAAAGAGCGATACAACTCTATGACTGAGTCACATGTGGAACATAAATATACTCTCTGAAAGAGTCTGATTTAATTGTTTTTTGATTACCAAGTTATAATTCTAGGTAGAATGTTCTCTATGTTTGGTATCTTATGTATCTGAATCACCTAGTAATCTTTTGTAAATATGTAGTAGTATAGATGCTAGGAGGAAAATATATATGTAACGTATAATCAAGAGAGATTATCATTCTTTTATGAATGTTACATATATTCCATATACTGAGATTTAAATGTCTTCCCTGTTTCTAGGTGGTGGAGCTTGCGGGCATTGAAGCACAGCAGGTGGTATTGCTGCTGGAAGACTATCAGTTTGTTCATTCCACGTTCCTTGAGATGGTCAACAGTTTACTGTCTTCAGGTGAGAGAAGTACCAGAAGATGATGGTACTGCTTTTACCACACAGTTAGCTCAATGAGGCAGAATTAGATGATGTTTTCTAACTCTTATGTCCATATCAGAAATTTTAGTTAGTTTTTAGGTAGAGTGCTTGGCCATGAAAATCTGACTTGAAGTTCACTTAACTCTCCTTTAACCTCCCCTACTGTACAGATGCTTTCAGTTCCTCAAAGTTTCAAGTTAAGAAAATTATTTCAGAAGAGGACTCTATAATGGCATAGCAAAAAAATGGTCATGTATTGTACTCTACAGCTTCCCTTTTCTAATAAAAATGAAAAAATTGAGAGGAGTCCCAGCATTTTACTAGATTGTATAGACTGAGTCCTTTACTTGAAAGAACACGCATAAAGCCCACTTTTCTGAAAACAATGAAAGAATTGACAATAACAAATAACAAAAGTGACTTTATTTTGTTATCTAGCTTTGTTCCTGGATCAGGGAGATCACTGAAGGACTGTGTGTAACTTAGATTTTTTTGAGACTGCACTAGTTTGATCGATAAGAGCATCAGGTTTCCCTGTCCCCCAGGTGCAAATCTGAGCCTCCTTACAGTACTAGGTTCTTGTTGTCCAGCAATAAACATTTGTGTCTGAGGACCTAGATAACTACACTCTTTCAGGTTTCTGTTTTCTGGTGGATGACAAAGTCTGATTTGATTTGTTTGTGTGCAGTACTGGATCACTGTCTTTGGGTAGATTTGAATGAGTTTTTAAGTCAGATGGAATCACTATAATTAATAATGAAAAGAATGAAGTACATGGGATGATACTCAGGAAAGCGTGGAGGTGAATACTCCCATGTTCACATTCTCTGTACAGGAGATTCAAGGGAATAATTCAAAGGAATTTGAATAATTATTGTGCATTTGATCTGACATTTTAAATTCATTCTTGGAATAGGAGAAGTTCCTGGGCTATACAAAATAGAAGAATTAGAACCATTACTATCTCCTCTGAAGGATCAAGCTTCAGAAGATGGTTTTACAGGACCAATTTTCAACTATTTCACATACCGTAAGTAAAGAGAATTATAAGTTATATTTTATTACAAAGTTACAAAAGTCGTGGAATAATGGAAAATAATTCTAATGTGGGCATTATTTTGTGCACATTTTTACCTTTCAGTTATTAAAAATCAGGCAGGAATAATAATTACAGTGTGATATTTAAGGGTACAGAACCCTCAGCATACGTTTTGTTCTTCTGTCTGAAAATTTTTGTCCATGAATGATCTACAAAGGTGTTACAAAATCTACTGTTGAAATTAATCAGAAAGAAGAAGGCTTTTGTGCCCATCATCTTCTGATTTGTTTGGCTTATTTATCTAGTAATAGTTTTCTTCTGTTTGTCGATTATACCTATAAATCACTTTGTATTCGGAGTAATCATAAGTTTACAGATACGTTTCTTAATTATTTGTGTTTCTTCCTTGGACCAACAAGAAGATTAAATAGTTTACAAATAAATAGAATGTGACTGAAAGAATACAGATGTTGGCAGTCATACTCAAGGGCCTCGAATCTACTTCTAATAGGTTCTGTGGGTCTATATTCATTGGAATGAGAACTAGTAGTATCTATTTAAATACTATCAGCTCTTCTAAATTAAAAAAAACCCAAGAACACTGTAATAGACATAATAAGAATCCATGATACTAATTTGTTTAAGTTCTGTTTATAAACATTCCTGCCCTGGTGTGATGTAGTAGTATCCTTTTTTTTTTTTTTCAGAAATTACCTTGTAATAAGTATTTGAAGGACAGTTAATTAGGTTGTATTTGAAGGACAGTTAATTATGTTGTATTTGCAGTAATGTGCCATCATGTAGTCAGATTGTTATCTACTAAATATTTAATATGTTGCATTTTCTTAGGGATCCAACAAAATCTCCATGTTGTCTTGATCATGGATTCTACCAATTTAAATTTCACAATAAACTGTGAAAGTAATCCAGCACTGTACAAGAAATGTCAGGTTTTGTGGATGGAAGCCTGGTCAGAAAACAGTATGAAAAAGGTAAATTGCATGAATTAAAAAGTGCAACTTTTTAAAGTTAGTATCTCCAAAAATAACCGAGCTATGCTGAATAAGATGAAAATATTTAAAGTTGTGAAGGAGTAATTTTCACTGTGCTTATTTAATCCATTTGTGCAGTCCTACAAAGACAGAAGATTCTGCAGAACAATTAATAATGTTAGCATTGTTATTTTACCAGTAACATTATGTTTTATTCTGTCTTTGGGCTGACTTGAACAAAATTCTGACTACTATGACTGAATAAACATCGTTTAAGAATTAAATACAAGTAGTCTGCAAGCAAAAAGTTAAAGCCAACTATGCTGATGGTATCTGCTGTTACTATTGTGCTTGACAGCTAGTTCAAAAATAGGTTTCTTTTTTGCTGCTGTAGATCTAAGAATCACTGTAAACCTTGAATCTTAAAGTGTTTTGCTAAATGGAAGGAAGTCAGCGTGTTCTTTGTAGGGTCCAGATCTGCTTTTTTTTCAGGATGCTCAGAGTACAAGTTTGAGAATTACATATATTAGTTCTGTATATTATAGAGATTGTCAAATCTGGTACCCTGATAGGGGCAGGGCTGCCACAGCCTCACTGCCCCAACTCGAACCAGTGGTGAGGCTGGTTCAGACAGGCACACACACAAACACACACAGGCAGCACATGTACACGTGCGATTGGCCGCACAGAACAACACAAACGGAAACCCTCAGCACGAACACAGGCAACACAGTTGGCAGCAGCCTATTCCGTGCTCTGAGTGGTCCCAGTGAAGGTTTGTTAGTGGGAAACATGTACATGTGCAGAATGTGGATCCCCCTAGCAGCAGAGCACAGACATACACCCCCTTCAGTAATTGCCTCTGGATCCCCTGGTCTCCTCCCTGGGCATCCACATGTACAAACTTTGATGCCTGCAGCCCCTGCCCTGCCCCAGCTTCAGTGCGCGTACACATGCGCACACATACACAAACGCTGAATCCTTCCAGTAACTGGGCTTAGACATCCAGTCCATCCCGTAGCTGGTCTTGGATCTAGGATCTCTTCATTGTGTCCTGCACAAGCACATCCAAGTACCTGAACACACACACACGGACACGTGCAGCTGGGTCTGGTTTGACTCCTAGATTCCACGGTCTCAGACAGTTGGTGTGGACCTTCTAGATCCTCTGGCAGCCAGTTCCTGCGGGTGCCTCACCAACCCACAGTAAATCTTGTGCAATGTGAAGTGCTCTTCCACTGCTTACCATAACGTGTTCCAAGACTGCTAGGCAGTAACCCCCTGGGACTAGCTTGTAAGGTGGTCTGGCCTCTCCTGTTGACTCAACGGGATGAGTTTCACCACCTGGACCATGGGGTTGGTTGCTCTCCTGGCAGAGCCACAGGAGTCTCCATTTCTGCCTTATTCCAATGGCAAGTTGTACTAAAAGTTTATTTTGGCAAAAATGTTTGGACCAGGTCTGTTCACAGTTTTTTCAGAGTATTTTCACTTTCACTTCAATAGGGTTTTTTTTTCTAAAATGGAGGCTTATTTAGTCATATGCCAGAACTTTTGAATATACTTTATTTTTGCTATGGTATATTGTATAGTTGATAACATCTGAAGGTAAGTCCGCTCTTGGACCGTAAAAAAGTCTTCAAAGACTTATATGTAGTTATTGTTTAATTCTGGCATTGTACCTCCCACAGTTATGCTCAAGACTGACTGATTTCCTATAGAGTTGTGTATCGTTTTACATCTTTGACATCTGTGTGATTTGTGTAAGAGTCCTCCAAGAATTAGTTGCTCTTTCTTACAGCCAGCAAGAGCTCATCGGCTTGAGAGAACAGGAAGTTATCAGTAACAGGGAGAGGTGAAATTGATATTTTTAATGCTATAAATATTCTGTAAATAATGAATAAATCTATCGTACTCAGTCTTTTCAAATGCGAAACTACGTTGAAGGTTTCTTTTTATAAGTTTAACTCAAATTTTCCTTGTTCATAATTTTCATACAAAAAATCGTGTTCATTTTTTTAGATACCTGAAATGCTTCTGTATGAATCAGATGAACAGGAAAAGACTGGAAAAGCACATAAGGAACTTACGAAAAAACGTGCAGGTAATATTTAGGTGGACCCACTAGTTATTATTACTTATTAAGCACTTACTCAGTCCTGTGTTGGGTGATGGTTATAGCATGGATACTTTGAGTTGGTTTTTGCGAGCATATTCCTAGACTTCAGTGTTGTTCTCATGGCAGGGATTTTGTGCAAGGGAACGTTAGTCTGGAACATACATTCTGGCTCATAAAACCCAGTGTCTTCTGTCACACTGCGTATCACTGCGTATATTCAATTCTATAAATTGATTAAGATGCATCTTGTTTTAGTTTGTGTCTTCCTTCTCTATGAATGTTTTCTTGCAACCTCAACATTTGATTGTTTGACAGTTTTTTGGTCTGTACGTTTTCATTATTCTTATCGTAGACCTGCTCATTTTACTTTAATAATTCGTTATCTTCAGTACCTAATTTCTTGTAAGCAATACCCTTTCCTTTTCTCAGCATAATTTGTTTTTGTAAAAAACCTTCAAATTTAACCATTTTAAAAAAAAGGCGTCAAACATAATCTAGAAGGCCAGTGCCAGCACCTATTTTTGTAATGTTCTTTTATCCACTTTTTATAAAGCATTGGTCTGAGTAGCACTTAGAAGTTGTGGAGCTAAGATCATCTAAAATTATAGTTTACTTGGAGTTTCCTGTGTTATACAGGTTTTTAAGAGGCATTCCAGCCCATCAGGAAAAGACTACATTTAGGATTTAGTGTTCATGCTACCATCTGTCTTTATCCTAGATCATGGTACATAATCTATGCCTCAGTACTTACTAAAGGCATTCATTTAAATGTGCTTAGATTTTAGCATTTTTTTCTTTTGTAGGATAATACAATATATTTTGTGATATTTTGTGGCTTGAGAAACTGTTCAACAAATGAAGGGCCTGGAATGTTCAGAAAAATATTTTAGTATACCTGTCATCAGAAACAGGGGAGAAAGCAAAAATTCATGGTGTTTCTTCTTTCTAAAAATCTCCAAGTATATTCTTTGTGATATTTGCAATACTCCTAATTAATACAGAATGATCTAGGCTGGAAGGGACCTTAGAGATCATTTTAATCCAGCCTCCTTGTCCCCAGGGACACCACCTCTTGACTAGATCAGGCAACACATGGGGGCCAAACGGGAATCGAACCTGCGACCTTGGCGTTGATAGCGCCACGCTCAACTGACTGAGCTGACTATCTCAAAAAACATTCTGTTGCTCTTCCTTAGTTATTTTAATATGAGGTAGGATTGAGTATCTTATTATCTGTGTAACAAGTTATGATTTACAGGTGATTCTGATTTTCTGAAGTCATTTCTGGCAATCCACAATTCATGTAAAATGCATGGAGCAACGCCCAGCAGGTATATGACATTCCTTCGTATATACAGTACCATCAATAACAGTAAAAGAAGAGAGCTAATGAAAAGGCAGAACCACCTGCAGGTATGCATTTAAAATGGTTTTAACATACGGCTTTTCAAAATACTCTCACATTTGGAAATGCCTCACGTATTAATGGACTGTAGCTGGTACATGGTTGTGTGAGTTGGCCTCTGTTGGCGTTTGCTCGTGCTGTGGTTTCAGAGCAGGAATAGGACATCACTGTTCAAATGCCTCAGAAAGTGAAGAGTAGTTTCTTGGGTTTGTTGATATTTTTTCCTCAATAAAGTGTCCGATAGGTTTTATTTTATGTACTTCTGTGTTCTTTAGAGGGTGTACAAATATGGAGAAATGGGATAATGTAAATTGTTTCGATTAGTTAATTTTTGTAGATTTGCTTTTAAAGGAGATATAATTATGTGGAGGTAATATCATTTAACTAAAACATTATTGAATTAATGAGAAAAAGATTATGTACTAGTTACTGTTCCATTAAGGTTTTGTAATTTTAAGAATTTTATTCTCAACTTTTGGTGTAGCAATAGATCGTACAGTGTCTGTTCTTGGGTTAAATAATACTAAGAATGTGTAACTAATATCGAGAAAATGTGGAACAGAAATTAGAAAATTAAGAATATTAGTCTACATCATTCTTAGTTTGTGTATACTGTTTCTAACCAACTTTCATTTAAATTTATATAAAATTCATTGCTGAATAACTACTTCTTATAAACTTTATAGGCAGGTGTTTCAAAGCTGAATGAAGCTAAGGCCCTGGTGGATGAACTGAACAGGAAAGCTGAAGAACAAAGTATTTTACTCAAAACAAAGCAAGATGAGGCTGATGCTGCCCTTCAAGAAATTACAGTATCTATGCAGGTGTTGTATAGAATTAGATCAAAATGAAAAATACTCATACTTTTCTATTTTTGGTCTTCGTAACTACCTGAGCTTTGTGTTCTTTTCAAAGGTTGCACAACTTGATGATTTTACAAGAATTTGGCTAAGTGAGTGCATGAACTCTGAGTTTTGAATAAGCTTGCAACAGCAGAGAGGACTATGGCTTGAATAAACTTGCAGCAGGACAGAGGATTACATAATAGAGATTATGTTTGAATTAACTGAATAGGAAGAGAACTGTACAAGTTTTGCACCTGAGTAGTATTTACTGCTGTAGCTTAGTCTGAAAGTTTTCCTAGAACTTTAAAAACTGATCCTTTTTATAATATTTATTGTAATAGATAGAAAGTTTAAACAAAATACTGACAAGTAGCACTATTTTAAGTAACAAAGACTAGAAATTAAATTTGTGGACTATTAGAAGTTATGTATATTGTGAGGTCTGATCCTCTGAAGTTAACCTCAAAGAAGGTTAAATAATATCTCTGTATTCAGCACTCCTTGAATTTTCAGTCTTGAGCTCAGAGGTAGACCTTCTGTTTTTTGAGGAGAAGATTGATCCTGCATTGCTGCTTCCAGGAATCATAAATGCAGGATAAACTATAGTGAATCTGTTGTCACTACACTGTTTTGTCACTGATTTAGTCTGATCAGTCTGAAGCAAACTTAAGTGAAGAAGCTCAATGACAAAGAAGTTCTCTCTGTGCAGCAAAGTAGGTGCCTGCTCTTTGAAAACGTTTGGTTCACAGTGCTTTAAAGGTGCATTACATCCCATTTTTATGGGTGTACTTCTGTTGGAAATTCTTAGAATTTTAGGCTCTGTCTGCCTACTTTACATGAATTTGAATGTTGGTGATTGGCTTGATATGTTCACTGCTGGCCTCAAAAGATATTTTTATGCCATTTTCGCTGATTTCTCTGCTAAATCTGTGTCTGCTGTTGTCCAGTAGAGTTACAGGTTGTGTAGGTAGCAGGTATTACATTATAGGTCAAAATCCAAGAATAGGCCGGAAACAATGAAACATGATGGGCCCATTGACGTCAGAAAAAAAATCAGTAGAATTCTGATTATTTAGATTAGCATAAAGTATAGGTGCCCTCTGACACTTTAATATCACTTCAGATGTTCTAGTTTATGTAAGAGAGAGGGCACTAATCCATACGGACTCTTCTAATCTTCCATTAGAGCAAGGCTTTTGACCTACAACTGAATTTTAAGGTTTTCATATTCAGAGCTATCATTCAGTACTTGTACATTTGCATGAAAAGTCTAATCTAGTTTTACGTGGCTAATGTTTTGTGGATTTGGATGTGATCTTCAGTGACATGCTGGTCTGAAGCTTGGGTTAAGTGCTCAGAAAGATTATTATTACTCTCGGGGTTTTCTGTGCTTATATACATGTGTGAGCTTCTGCTACAAGTTCAACTCAGCACAACAATTGCTGATTATAATGATGAAAAAATGTAAACTCTGAAAAATTGCTGATTATAATGATGAAAAAATGTAAACTCTGGGCTTTGTTGTCTTGTATCCTCTAGGTGAACTGAGCCTAGAATATTAATCTTTTATGCATTTATCCTCAATTTTTTTTTTTGTAACTGGTATTGGTAGGCCCTGTTTTTTTGTGGGGTTTGTTTTGTTAGCTTCGGGATACATAAGCTCCTTTTTGTTATAGTTTTATATACTAAGTAGTAATTGTTATACTGAAGTGCTTAGGAGTCCTGGAGTTGTCTAATAGCCACAATCTGTTCTATGATAGGCACAGTACAAATCCAGAAACAAAAAAGTTGCAACCCCAAACAGCTTACAATATATGTGCAGAACATAAGACAGGTATCCTTAGAGACGGGTGCAGATTTACAATAATGTATTAGTATTTCTAGGCTTATAGTTCTAACAAAACTGCTGCTTTTATGAACACTGTAGAAACAGGAGAGTCTTAGTGGTATCATGAAAGAAACAGAAATGTGGGCACCTACAAAGACAGTGGTGGAAAGATACTGTGAATGTTGCAGAGGCTGTCACTCTTACACTGTTAGAGCAGGACTGACATCTTGATAAGGATTGGAAAATTAGAGGCAAGGAGAAAAAAGGTCATAGTGAGCCTCAAAAATAGATATACAGAACTTGTCCATGGTAAAGAAAGGTAAGGACACATAGTAAAAGCAACCTAGTCATCTGGTATCAAATAGCCTCAGATATTTTATTGTAATTGGTATTGTGTATTATAAACAAGACTAAAAGAAATAAGATACTTAAAGTGCTAAAATCTGTGTATATTTTGAAACTAAATGTTTTATTTTTCTGACAGAATGCTAGTGAGCAAAAAACAGAAATGGAAAAGATAAAACACCGAATAGCAGAAGAGGCTGCAGAAATAGCAGAAAGAAAAAGAAAAATTGAGGATGAACTAAAAGAGGTTCAGGTAAGAGCTGATAAAGAAAAGTAATATTTTGCAGTCTGATTTTATTTGACTTACTGAAGTCCTGCTATGCAAAATGGATCTGCATATTTATCCCTGCATTTCTTAAACTTTGCTCTAAATTAATTTGATATTACAAGTGTTATGCATTAGGAACATTATTCTGTGTGCCAGATTTAGATTGTCATTTTGGCATTTGTGTTCTGTTAGATCTTAATTACAGAAAGCATTTTTGGGGCCAAATCCTACCTTCCTATTGTTATTTCGATGCTGCCGTGATCTACCACTGAGTTCTGCAGATTTAATGAAATGTTTTTCAATTAATAATATATAGACCAACTACATTACTCCACCTTGGTCAAGCTGGTAATATCACAGGGCTTGGTGCTATCAGCTGAATGAAAACAGTTTGATGACAGAGAATTTCCAGTTATCATTCTGAAAATTGTTATCCTGATGGCACTGTAGCAAGCTGCTTGTTTGACACAGCCCTTAAGCATCAGGTTTTTGGGGAGATACGTGTGTTCAGTCATTGCTTTTTGACTCTCTTTTTTGTCCCATCAATTTTAAAATTGTACTAAAGAGTAAGGAGAAAGTACAGCTACTTGGTTTTAGGTTGTTTTTTTTTCCCTGTTACATATAATATGTGCCAAGGAATTACATTCTTGTACTGAAAGTGACATAGGACTACAGGATTAACGTAAATCCCTTTCTATGATCTGTGATAAATAAGAAGGATGTGCAAGGTGTGCACAGGATTTAATGATAATCTTTCTTCTGTCTTCTTGTCATTTTGTTGCTTGATGGATAAGGGCAAAGACTGTCTGGATATGTTTAGCTGCTGAAAATAGATAGCTTTTGTGACCTGTACTTCTATGTAACTTTACAAAGATATCCTCATGCATGCCTATAAATAGTGATGAGCATCATTATTAGAAGATACTTTTATCATAATGAATTTTTAAGCAATGACAGAGCAAACAAACATGATTAATACTAATATCTATATGTCTCTGAGTTACAGTGCTGAATGAAAAGTCAGGGAAAATCAGGATTATAATGTGCTGTTTTATATGGAAATACATTTATTATCACTTAATAAAAACATGGCAACTTTTTAATAACTTGTGCACATGAGTATGCATTGATGGCAGCTGCTTACATAGTAAAATATGAACAAAGTAAAAGAAATGCTATGAAAACTAAAATGGCACATGTTCAGTTTCTTGTATCCTCACCTCTTTTTTAATGTGTATTTATGTTTTAAGCCACTGGTAAATGAAGCTAAGTTAGCAGTTGGAAATATAAAGCCAGAGTCTTTGTCCGAAATCCGGTCGCTGCGGATGCCCCCTGACATAATCAGAGATATACTAGAAGGAGTTTTACGGCTGATGGGGATTTTTGATACATCATGGGTGAGCATGAAGAGGTGAGGATTTTATGTAAATTTTATCTTCAACAGTAGTTTACAGTGTGAAATACTTTCTATTACATTCAGGAATCAAGTGTGTACAGAATTCTTTGGTTTCATAGGCTAATATTGTCTTTAACTTTTAGTTCTTCTTTGCTTAGTTATGCAATTCTTTTCACAGTTTTTTGGCCAAAAGAGGTGTGAGGGAGGACATAGCTACCTTTGATGCCCGTAATATTCCAAAAGAAATACGAGAGAGTGTTGAAGAACTTCTTTCTAAAAACAGAACATCTTTTGATCCAAAGGTAATTCCTGATCGCATTACATAAAATGAAAAAGGACAAAGAGAAAAAAAAATAAAAATGCGTGTTTGTTTGATTTGCCAATGTAAATTTTAGAATTAACCTAATGTAGAGAAGAGGTGATGAATACTGCTTACAGAATTTGTCACTTTAAAGAGATAAACATGTGTCAGAGATTATTCAGTTGCCTACTGCCTCTAACAATGAGAGTTCTGTTAATGACTGAGGAGCAGTGGGATGAGAAATTATTACAGTCTTCAGAGATTTTTGTCACTAATATAAGTTAGAACTCAGATCAAGGAGCTGTAACTGGCTCCTTCTGGCTTCCTTGTAGCAGTACAATTCTTAATTGTACACTGAATTAAAAAAGGACTGATAATGATTAAATATATAGGTGATCTTTAAGAACTGATTTGGCAGTAGCTATAAAAAGGAATTCTTATATACTAGTGTCTTACTTTTAAATGGAAAGTTGTAGATCCCTGAGAAGGAACACACTGATAATTTAAAACTTCTTACCTTACACGAATCTTTTTAATTGTAAAGATGTCCATTACTTTTTTTTTTAACAGAGATGGATAGCCTACAATATAATCTCTGGGTCACAATTTAAAAGATGAGTTCAGCAGAGGAGCTGACTAATTTATGTTGATGACTCATAAGTCTGTTACAGTCATTTATCCTGTATTTATCTCAGCTACATTGTACTTCAAGTTCTTGTACCTGTTCCTGATTTTTTCAGAATGCTAAGCGAGCCAGTGCTGCAGCCGCTCCATTAGCAGCTTGGGTGAATGCCAACGTCCAGTACTCCCATGTCCTAGAACGAATTCAGCCTTTGGAAAAAGAAAAGGCTGGCTTGGAAGTGTAAGTTAGACGCTATTACAAAAATAAATGTTCTTAATTCCAGTAGTGGTGGGTGCAGCTAAAGCCACCAAGGAGGAATTGAAGTTTATGAAAAAAAAAGATGTAAGAAACTCTACCTCATCTATAGGTAATAAAAGCATTGATGCTGAGACAGAAGAAGTAAGTATGCAATATTTTGTTTTTTCTGGAAGCTATGCCTTGCATACTTTTTGTCTACTCACAAGTTACCTGCCTCAGCTGCAGTAGGTCAGGAAGAAACAAAAATCACGGCTATGCTTAAAATGGATTCTGTCAGTGAAGCCCCTGTTGTTTTATGAGGTGTAGTTCGTCTTTTTCAGTCATGTACCAAGTATAATCAGTTTCTCCTTAGGATCAGAAAGATATGACCTATTTTTATGACCATCCATAACCTGAGGAATCTACACTGACTATTTTGACAGGTCTTGAAATTCTGTATTAGCAGAATTTATTCTGATCTTTAGACTACACTTGGATGGAGTATTTAGTTTGCATTTTTACAGTGATGTGATGAGTACTCAAAACTTTTACATGTGAAAACAGATTTTTGTTAATATAAATTGCAAGAAAGAACCATCTCTGAACTGTCTCTGTGTAAATTACTTCTGTGTTACACTTACTCTTATTTTTTCCTTTGGATCCATAGTCTTAAAACAAATGTTACATTTTTGTAGTAATCTCAAGAAAACTGAAGGCAGAAAACAGAAGTTAGAAGATCTCCTGAACTCTGTTGGTCAAAAAGTATCAGAACTGAAAGATAAGTAAGTTGGGTTTATTTCAGAATATAAATAAAAACATCGATGATTTTAGGTATGAATAATGAAATGTACCTAACTAAATGTAAATCCCTGCTCTGCAAGATTCTTGCATCAGAAATAGTGATAACTGGGCTATCTATACACTCTGGAGATAAATAAATACTGTTAGAATACAGTTCATCACATTGATCGGATTAAGTGCTCCTTAAACATTCCCACTTCTAACTACTGACGGTGTTGGAAACCTTCAGTGTATACATGGTAGATGTCAAAGAGAAGCAGTATGTCTCTTAGCTTTTACGCCTAAAATGACTTTAATGTCTCCTCAGGTCTTTGGAGACATTCCTGTGCAAACTTCTGCAGATGACAGCTGGAATAAAAGCAGTTCTGTTTCTTTCAGGATGGCCTGCTTTCCTGACAGTTAGCTAGTTATCTGTCTCCTTTTTTCTTAGCATCTCATCAAGTATATGACACACAGTGGCATAAAAATTACTGTGGTGAACTGTTTTAGTTTCTCTGAATTCAGTTTAATGCAAGTCTTTCAGTTTTTTTCCATAGTTAGGAGAAACTTTAGAGCCCGTCTTATGTACATACTGCTAAAGTCGTGTTTTGTAGTCTGCCAAAAAATGATTGGAGTATTCCTCTTGTCGTTCAACTATATAGTGCTGTCTTAGATTAACTAGTTAGTATATACTACAGTTAAATACACCATTTTAAAAAGATAGATTATTCAATGCATGAATTAGATATTAATTAAGCTAATTAGTTATTAAATATTATAAAATACTAGTGAAACTGTGCCTGCTGTTTGGGACGTGTCCTTACTTAGTAGTTATTACAGAGTAGAGTACTGTGCTTTGAATTGGGGTCATCTGTGTGAATTAGTGACATTCTCCTTTAAAGGCTTCATAGATTAAATTTACCCAAAAGTTACAAATCCATAGCATGGCGTTGAGCCTTCTGTAGTCCCGATTAGGTGCAGAATAAAACTTAACACGATAACTAACATCACATCAGGCTGTTTAATTAGAAGGAATGATTTTCAGACTTTATATTCTATATCACAAATGTATTTTTAAATTTCACCCGTGCGTGTATCTAAATGGCAGCTCATCTGCCAATTAGAAGGAGAAAGTATAAAAAAATTATAATTGTGTTCTCATAAACTGTAAGGGAGGAATTCATTACAAATTCAGTCAGTTAAACTGCCTTGAAAATAGTTGTCCGTAAGTTTAAATAGTTTGTAATAGCAATTGCAAATCGTGGTTGTTTTACAGGTTCCAGAGTAGAACAACAGAAGCAGCAAAACTTGAAGCTGAACTAAGTAAAGCTCAGCAAACGCTGAAAGCTGCAGAGGTACTGATAAACCAACTCGATAGGGAACACAAAAGATGGAGCACCCAGGTTAGTGAAAATTTTCATAAATACATCTTATAGCCGATAATTTGAAAATACAATTTTTGTGTTGTTTAGAGAACAGGAGTTATTGCCATTGTGCATATCTCCAAAGTGTCCACTTCTCTGATTTCTCATTAGAAATAGAAACTTTTCTTCCTTCTGAAACTTCCTTTTACTTCACTGTATAGGTTACCTCAGCTATATCACACAGCTACAGAATGTGTAAGAAATCCTCCAATGTTTAATATAGAACATACAACGTTCTTTGACATTTTTTAATCAGAATAATAATCTGTTATGCTGTCTGAACATGTCAGCAGTTGGACCCTCCAAGTTGAGACACAATCAAAAGGGACAGATTTTGGGAAAGCATTAAGTAATCGCAGTCTTAAAACATAGCTCCTTTATAGCACTGATGTTGGAAATGCAAATGTAGGCCTTCCCAAAATGCTGTGTTGCCTTTGCCGTCTTCGCTTACATGTTTGAAACTTTTCTGCTTCTGAAGTAGGGAAAATCTTATTTGCTCAAATGATATTTTTGAGAGAAACTGCCAAGCTTTGGACACACAGGCCCTTCTTTAGTCTGAAACAGAAAGGAAAATTTCAAGATAGATGCAAGCTGAAAATAGCTGTCTCCTCCAGAAAGCGGTAACAAGCTTTGGTATCTTAAAATGGAAAAAATCTCCCTGCAGAGAGACATGGTCCTGTCTCTCTGTTGACACTGAAAAAAGTCTAAACAATTAGACTAAATACCTGCGTTTTGAAGAACCAAAGGTAGGGTTAGATGATTCCTTCTTGTGGCTTGACCAACATGGAAAATAGTGGAAGATTGTCCTCTTGACACTAGTTCTACAGCTATTCCATCTGCTATAGTAAGGATTGGGTATATTTGAACTTCAGAGTTAAAATGCTTCTAAAAGTGATTCCTCACAGTTTTTCACTCTGGTACATTACCCCTGTTTGTAGAAAGTTCAGTCTGTTAATGGTATGCTGTAGACCAGACTAGCAGAAATGTTAGTTTGGAACTCATCCCAAACTGAGGACCGTGAAAAAACAGTATTAATCTCCCTTTAAAGTAAGGAGAAAGCAAGTTCCTTCTCTTTTTTTGTGTGTATATGGCCTTGAACACCTCCAGGGAGGAGGCATCCACAACCTCTCTGGGCAATCTAGTCCAGAGTCTTGCCACCCTCATACTGAAGAATTTCTTCTTAAGATCCAATCTAAACCTATTCTCCTTCAATTTAAAACCATTTCCCCTTGTCCTATCGCTGGACACTGTTGTAAAAAGTCCCTCCCCAGCCTTCCTGTAGGTTCCTTTCAGGTATTGGAAGGCAGTTGTAAGGTCCCCCGGCGTCTCTTCGTACTTTCTCGTCTCCCATACTTCACATGTCTGTTGCTGTGGGTTAGCTCAGTAGAGATACCTGAAATGCAAGAAGAGAGACTGTCTCAACTGTATTCTCCATAACAGGCAAATTTAATTCTGACTTTCTAGTAACTAAGGAGAAATATTAACATAGTTTTTGTTTGCACTATCCCTATATATTCTGTACTTTGTTTTGGAAGGTGTCAGAGATAACGGATGAACTGGCTACATTGCCTAAAAGAGCTCAGTTAGCAGCTGCATTTATTACCTACCTTTCTGCTGCTCCTGAGGATCAGAGGAAAACCAGCTTGGACGAATGGACCAAATCTTCAGGCCTTGAAAGTAATTTTGTGTGTGTGTGTGTGTGTGTCTGTCTGTCTGTCTGTCTGTCTGTGTGTAGCTAGTTAAGCTTAAGGAAGGGAGAAATGCCTGTGAGCTCTAATGAACAGTCTCAACTGTCTTTGTGTTCCCAGATGATTTTCTTACTCAATAACTACTTGTATAAACAAACAGACTATTTCTTAGGATTATTCTATTGTTGAGATTATAAATACTTGTAAATTCTTAAGATTTAGCTCCATAGCCCTTCCTTAAAAAGAAGTGTTTACATGAATGAATGTATTCACATTGTGTTGTAAGTTTGCCAATGTGTTCTGAATGCTTCTGCTTTTTTAGTGATTATTTTTATCTATGTGTGTTAATAACACCATTAATTATTTTTATAGCATCAGCTAGTTAACAGTAATAAGTTCAAGCAATAAAAAATATGAATTTAAGGGAAATCTGCACACTTGCACTGCTAGACAGTCTCCATTGTCTATAGAGTGGTAAATGCTTAAAAATTATTTAAACTATAAATACTAGCACAAACAATTTCATTTATCAGAGTTCAATTTACGGCGGTTCCTGTGTACAGAAAGTGAGGAATTAGTCTGGAAAAGTGAGGGTTTGCCTTCAGATGACCTTTCAATAGAAAATGCTCTTGTCATCTTGCAGGTAAACTTGTTTTTTTGTTTTGTCTTAGAAGTATTTAAATTTATAGAAAATTCAGGCATCTCTTTGGAATGTTGAACTATTTCAGTTGTGTTACTTTATTAACACCACAGAACACACGCAGGGAAACAGATACATAACTCTGGGTTTTCTGTAGCAAAAGGATAAAAGCAGTTAAAGAAAATACATTTTTTTCTTTTTTTGCTTTCACAATTTTCTTCCAGATGTTGAACAGACACAACCTGCTATCAGTCTACTCAGGCTTAAAGTGTGAATCATCATTTACTGTCAGTGGAAGACTATGTCCCATATGTGTTCACTTTGATGTATAATTTCTAATACTTTTTATTCTTAGAAAAAAGAAAAGGCTACATGTGGATGCCTTTAAAAGCATCTAGATTTTGAAGCCTTAGTTTTCATGGATTAGGTTTTATCAAATTGAAAACCTGCTGTCTTTTCAGTATACTTGTTACTAGGCATATCACCAATATATCCTGCTGTAGCGTTTACAAGTTTGAGATCTAAATTTGTTCATAATTGTAAGTAAAATGCTATTTGTATCTTTATGCCTGCAAAATCCTTATATTTGTTATTCTTTCTGAAATGATTTGGGGTCTCAAACCAGAAGTAATGTACCTTTGTCTGCTGAAGAAAAAGGCAAAATAATACCAGTTCTAAATTTCAAAGCAGTTGTGCATGAAAAAAGCTGTAGATTATACTCATTGAATAGATTTCTGTTTTTAAGAGAAGGTGAAGAAATGCTTAGCTT